CCCCAAAACCCCAAAACCCCAAAACCCCAAAACCCCAAAACCCCATTAAAAATTATCACAGTTGAAAATAGAACAAAGATTATCGGAATAAATTATAGTTTACCAAGCGGTCCCATTGCTAGCTTCTTCTGCAGCGGCAACAAGAAATGCTCGATTGCTCCATTTTTATCATGTCTATATAAGGTGTTATGTTTAGGCCTGAAATTAACGAAAATATTTTTGAAATTTAGACATAGGAAGAAACTTACAGATTATCACCAGGGAAATCATCTTTATCTGTGAACAATCCTTCAACAGTTTGGTCTATATTTGGTTTAAACACATTTTTTTATGAAGAGAGGATAATTCTTAACAAATCTTGAAAAATCAAAATGATTTATTGATAGTTAGAAATATCATCTACCTTGTTGAATTTGGTCTACACCAGCAAGCCCTCTCCCTGGAGAAGGAGTGACGAGGTCGTAGATTGCAGGAACAGCATCATTGATCAAGTCACTCATGTAACTCTTAATGTTGATCAGACATTTGGATTCGAGGGTTCCTGTTAAAATTATGTTGTCACAATAGGTCAAGACCATCCTACAGCAATAAATTTTTCATAGCCTCATTAACGAGAAGTACAGTCCATCTGAGACATCAAGTTCTTGAATCTGGTCATAGAAAATCTTTGAGGTGAGATAAACAGCGTTAAGTTTGGCTGTCTTATTGACTTCGATGAAATAAACCTTGTTCCACTTCTCATCCATCGAGTATGGGCTATCCTTCTTGAGCAAATTTCCAGTCTCCTTTATTTGGAAAAGCAGAGATGCCTTAATGATATCCAAAAGACTTTCAACTGTCTCTCTGAATCGAATTTTTGGAGGATTTTCTATAAATTGCAGAAACTCCTGCAAGTAACTGAAGAAGCCTGTTATTTCAGATCCAATCATAATTTTACTCAGCTTTTTGAAGATATACTTAGTGGTATCCTGGAAATAGATGTAGCCACTCCCTTTAATGTTAAGCTTAGGAGGAGCTATTTCAACCTGGCTCCACATATTTGTGGCTCCAATAGTTGAGTCTCCAGTCTGGAACTCATACACATCCTGAGTTAAGGATCATAGTTCGTCGTAAATAAATGATTTGATGTTAGGAAGGATCGGTAGAAACTCCTTCACCTGATTAGCCATATTATTGAGACTATAATTCCATGTAAACAGTGAGGCATATCCCAGAGCAGCTAAGGAGACTGATCTTTGCCTAGCATGATGGCACTCTGTCAGTTTCATCCTGATCTCACTCTTCTTAAGGATACTGAAGCATTGGATCCATGACTCCTTCAGAAGGGTGCATCTGATTTCATTCATAGTTGAATTGGCATTACGAGCATCACCTATCATCTCTACTTCTCCTTTGTTAGAGATAGTAATAAAACGAGAAAGCAGAGAATCCCTTGGAAGTTGAAAATTATTGAATTTTAGATAGGATGCATACTTAGACGCAATGCTCAGCTTGTGAGTCGATCTTCCAACTTCGAGACCCTCGAAAAGGTCCTTAGTAACAGGGTCTCTGATTCTTGCTAGGAATGAGTGCACTCCATAATCCTTAGTGCCACTAATCAGTCTTGCTTGGAACACCACATGGGAAGCTTTTAGAATGTTATCAGCAGTTCACAGCTTAATCGAAGTGATATCAGGAGTATTGATAGCTAGAGATTTTTGTGCAGAATCTAACACAGCCTCAGTCTGAATTGAGTAAATATCAGACCCATGGCCAAGCTCAGTTCCTGCATAGAAGCCTTCCACATCTTCATTGAGCACTGTTTGTAAATACTGAGCGTATTGTGCTTTGCTAGCAAGGGTTCTTACAAGAGCTTCAAACATGTTTGAATTAAGCTCATTTCTGTCCTTATCAACCATAGAAACAGCTTGAGGAGCATTATCTATCATATTTGACCCAGTTGTTATCACTTTGTCTTGGTAAAATACTTTTTCGATACTTTTCTCACTCGTTGGAGCAAGTTCCTTCATCTCATCATCAACAGAAGGATTGAAGTATTTTTGTCCGAGTCTCTGAAATAGCTGAAATCCTTCATTTTGATCGAACTCAAAAGTTTCAGGCCTATCTTCACGTAGAGATCTTCGCTGACGTATTACCTCTTCTTTAATCATTAAATTCTTAAATTTTATGCTGACGTATTCAATAAATAGTTTCCCATCAGGGGTTTTGGGGTTTTGGGGTTTTGGGG